TTGGAAAATCTATTTTTATCCTTGAAAATAAAATCAAAGAAAAATATTTAACAATAGATTCAAATTCAGATTGGAGCAATTGTAATTGGCATGCTAAAGATCAAACAACACCAATTGTCATCGTAAAAGAATTTGTAAGAAAAGATTGGGCTTGGAATTTTTATACTATATATAATGGTTGGTATCATAGAAAAATAATATTTCTCTTCACAAAACATGATATCGATAATTGGTATAATATATTCAGAACAAAAGAAGGTTACGATGAAAAAACTTTTAATGATAAACTTTGGAGATTAGATGAATCTTATGTTTATAAACTTAATGAAAACAACAGAAGAAAAATAATTGAAAGTATTTATTATAAATATAAAAATAACTTAGTTTTACAAAATTGTAAAAATGAAGATAGACATAATCACTGTATTAGATAAAATTTTTTATTTAAATATAAATAAAGTAACAAATAAAATTATTATTTTCTATGTTTATTACTACTTTCACTTTCATTAGAATCAAAAAATTCATAAGTTCTTTTGATTGTACTTGATTCTATAATATCTTCAGTATCTTCCATGTAAACCATTTGAATGTCAATACTTTGATTTTCTAAAAGAACTTCTTGTTTGTAATCAGACAATTCTTTACACCTTGGATAATCTCGCAAATATCTCTTCTTGAATTCAGGAAAATGACGTCTCCAATATACTTGATTATTCTTAATCACGATCTCTCCATCCTCATCCTTATTCAAATCTTTAACAACTTCTGTCAATTCATCTGTAGTGTATTCTCCTTTATCATATTTCAAATCCCAAATCATATTTCTAAACTCCTCCTCAGAACCTCTATGAAAGATCAACTCTGTTGTACGTAAATCAATATCATCATTCCATTTTCCTTTAAACTCAATGATGAAATCAAGTCTTCTATCGAACTGACCCCAATCTCTATGAACCTCATCTTCACTCTTATTACGTTGACCAAAATTAAATGATTCCTCAGGAGATCTTCGTGATGTCATAAAGATATATTTTGCTAAAAAAGGTTTAAATCCTTTACGTTTGACCTCAACTTCTGCAGGAGTATCATTCAAATAATTTACAATATCATCCCATCTAACTACTGTATACCATTCATCTAAAAAAACAACTGATTGATTCTCATATCCATTCCACTATGTACTTCCACTCTTCTGCATCTTTTTCTTCAAGTAAAATTCTGAACGGAATAATTTTTGCACAAGATTCGATTTTCCTGCTCCACCATCACCAAAAAAATAAAATGTCACTGGCCTCCAAAATCTTTCAACTTTCTTTTTTTTTTCTATAATTAAATCTTGATAAATTTTTTTCATACTTTCATAACTATTTGAATATCGAACTTTATCTATATTTAATTTGAAAACTTCTAAAAGTGTTGCACCTTCTAAAAGTTTTCTATTTCCTTCTATTATTGCTTCAAATTCAACAGATTTTTTTTCCTCCAGTTCATCTTTCAACTCGGAAAATTCTTTTGAAGGTAGTAAATAACGATATGTTCCAAACGTCCAAGGTCCAACAGATTCTTGAAGAAGTATATTACCATCTTTATCTGTCCAACGAGAATATTTTCTTTTTTCGATACAAGATTCATTGCAAATATTACATATATTTTCTTTTATCTTATAATCACATTTACATTTTTTAACATGTTTAGGATCTTTACATCTATCCCATTCCTTAACACTATATGCTAAATTTTGCTCTGAATCTCCATTTAAATATTTTGGAAAATTCATCGATTTATGTTTCAACATAGCTTTTGCTGATTTTACAGTTTGACGATCTTTAAACTGAAAATATGCTTGCTCATGAATTTGACCTGTTTTTGTAGGCTCATATTGACCTGATGATAATGTCACACCTAATTCCTCAAGAGCTTTAAATTCTTCTATTGTTTTAGGTAAAACACGTCGACATTCTTGATCTGTTGATTGACAATATGAACATATTATATCATTACATTCACGTAACTTACAACATTGTTCACATCTATCATCTTTACATCTCCAATGTTCCTGATTACATTTGAAACAAGTTGATATTTTTCCAGTTTCTTTATATATTTGTTCTCGATCTTGAATTTCTTTTTCAATATTATTTTTCTTGCATTTGAATTTTTCTACACAAGGAATACAATAATAAATAGTTGACATAGTATGTTGAAATCGATGGTTTTGATTTTTGCTCATTTTAAATACTTTCGATTATTTTTTTTATTTTAAAAATTTCTAACCAAAGGTGAAAATCGAATCTTTTTATAGTTTTTTAAATAGTTGATAAATTATCAAAAAATATAAAATTTACGTGTTTTGCATTGTATATAATAATTACTAAATTTAGAAAATACGAATATTTTACGTGTTAATTTATTAAAAAATTAAAATTTACGCGTATTTTTTAAATTGTATATTTTAAATCTAATGGCATCTATAAATAATATAATTCAATATTAATTAATAGTAAATTAATCATAATTATTAATTTTTTTTTATAAAATTTACAAAACTTGGATTATAAATTACACATGTGTAACATAGAAAACACATAAACATCTCACAAATTTACATTGTATTCTGTTTAATTTTGTATCAAAAACGATTTACAAATTTTTGTTTCTTTAAAAATATACTTAACAGAAAATTGATTTCGGAAGGTAATTCTTGCTAGCAAACCTTCAAAATGTATTAGCAAAATTTGTAGCCCTGATCATTTTACATTAGAATCTCTATTTTTAGATAAAACGGAAAAGTGTTTATGAAGTTATGACGATTTTTCTCTCAAAAACGTATATACAAATTTTTTCTTTGAACGTACAACAACTTTGAAGGAAGAATACTCCTGTTTCTCAAAATGAAACAAGCTTTACGGTTCTAATTAAACTTTTTCCTGAGGTTTTCAACTGCTAACATCTCAATTTTCAGAAGGATTGGATAAGAATTGACGGAGCGATGACGATTTTACGTTCGTACGTTTTTTTCTCTCTGACAATTTTGATGAAAATTCTAGGTTGACGGGTCTGATAAATGATTCTTGTTAGTAAACATGTCTTGGTGTCTTAAGCAAATTTGTAGAGAAAGTTCACAAAATTTTTCCTGTGAATTTTGAAGTCGAATGGACAAGTATTCGTTAAGTTATTAATTTTTTTTTGTTTGTAAACGTGTATAATTTTTATTTTTATTAATAATAAAAAAGAAATTCGTTAATTTCGATACTTTGGTCTAAGATAACAACCAAAGTGTCATTAAGCAAGTTGGTTCAGATGAGGTTGAAGAGTTCACATATGAAATTTCAGGTCAAACGGATCAAAACTCGTGAAATTATGCTGAATTTTGATGAAGATGATTTTGCTATTGACTTTGTAGATCACTTTAGAAAATTCAAAAATCGTATTTTACACAAAATTTTATTATGACAATCGACTTTGGGCTCTTAAGAAAAAATGTGTAACTCACGAAAACAATATTAGTTTAATAGAACCACTTTGTATATTTCTCTAATAAAATTTTTGGTTATCATCGATTTTCATCATTACGATTTTTATCTAATAAATTTTAGGGTGTGACAACTAATTTACGAAAAATCACCATCTAATTAAATGTATCCTAAATCCTGGTTAAAACGACCTGAATTTATTATTAGGGGTGTGAAGAATAAACACCGAAAAAAAAAAATCACCATCTAATTATAACTAGTAAATTTTAGGATACGAAATTACGTGTATCCTAAAATTTACTATTAAATTCAGGATAGGTGTGATGACTAATTTACGAAAAATCACCATCTAATTAAATTTACTAATTAAAAAATCAAACAAAAATCACCATCATAGATCAATTAGTAAAAAATCTACTAATTAAACATAATAAAAGGTGACGAATAAACAAACCGAAAATCACCATCTATTATTCTAAACTAGAAGGTATATTACGTAAGCGGCATGTGATTATTTTTATATTAGGTGGTTATTATCTGTAACACTATAACAGATAATAAGGGACCTTCGTCATGCTACTTATTATAAAATTAATTAGTGCATTGACATTAAAATGTTTTTGTTCTAGTTTGTAAATCATAGTAAAGTGATAAGATTGTAATTTTATCATTCATCTTCCTAATCATCCTTTAGGTTGGAAGAATTTTAACTATTGAAAGGCTAAATAGTCAGTGATTAAAGTGAAATAATTTGTTCCAAAATACTTATAAAAATATTCTATTGCCTATACTATAGTAGCATATTCTAATTCTGTTGCTCTATAGTTAACTTCTTCTTTCTTGAGACTTTTACTTGCATAAGCAATAGAATATTCTTTTCTATTGTCTACAACTTGACTTAAAGTTGCTTCAAATCCATCATAAGAGGCATCTGTTGAGAGGATAAATTCTGATTTATAATTTGAATAGATTAAAATAGGAGCTATAACTAATCTTTGTTTGAGTTTATCAAAAGCTTCTTGTTATTATTAGTTCCATTCATATTTAGTGTCTAGATATAATAGCTAATTTAGAAGTTAGGCTATAGAAGAAAATTCTTGTATGAATCTTCTGTAATATCTAGCAAGTCCTAAAAATAATTGGAGTTGAGTTACATTTGTAGGAAGGAGAATATTTTGTATAGCTATACTCTTTTCTGAGTCTAGTAAGATTCCTTTTACTTCTATAATATGTCCTAAAAAAAGTAATCGCTTTATCTAAAAAGTATATTTTTCTAAGTTAAGCTTAAGTCCTGCTTTTCTAATTCTAGTAAATACTTCATGTAGATATTAAATATGATCTTTAAATATTCTGAAGAATACATTCATATCATCTAAATAAACAACAATATACTTATAGACTATGCCTTGGTAAATTTGATTCATGAGATGTTGGAAAGTTGCAGGTATATTGTATAATTCAAATGGTATTATATTAAACTTGTAAGTACTATATTTAGTGATAAATACTGTTTTTTCTCTGTCTGCTAGATGCATCATTACTTGCTAATATCTACTCATAAGATCAAGAGTAGAAAAATATATAGCTCCTGAAAGGGAGTCTAAAAGTTTATCTATACGAGGAAAGGAATAAGAGTCTTTCTTAGTTATTGCATTAAGCTTTCTATAATCTACACAAAATCTTTTCTTTCCATTTTTCTTTATATCTAATACAACTAAGGATGCCTATAGGCTAGTTGACTCTCTAATTAGATTATTGTCAAGCATTTGTTGTATTTCTTCATTAATAAAGACTTGTTTAGTAATAGATACTGAATAAAATCAAAAACTTATCAGAGGTATATCTTCAGTATATATTTTGTGTATTACTAGGTTAGTTCTTCCTAGTTGAGTAATATCTTTTGCAAAAAGGTTTGCAAATCTCGAAGTAATTGTTTAAATTTTGTTTCTTGGTCTAAGATTAACATTCTTGTTTTTGAGGCTATTTCTTGAGAGAGTGTATATATTTCTTTCTTTTGTAAATTATTGTTTAGAACTGATTCTAAGGCTTCAAGTTCTGAGAGAAGCTCATCTGAGTCACTAAGTAGTTTTTTATCTTACTTGAGATGGTCTAAAAATTTAAGGAGAAGGTCAAAGTAATAAGATATTTACTATCTACTTGTAAAAATTGTTCCTGATATAAATGTTCTATTTGTTGGTGAAATCTTTCAAAACTATTAACTTTGTGCTAGAAGATTTCAATAGTCTTGGCCTAGTGTTTAAAAGTCTTGGCTTGGGCTTAGAAAAGAGCAATAAACTGAGCCTATTGTTTGACTTGTTGTAGTAATTCAATAAGTTTACTTTGGTCAAGATCAGATTGAACTTGGGGTTGACTAGATAATTCAGGTTGTATAGAGAAGTCTTCAAGTAGAATTTCTGCTTCAGATTCTGGTTAGAGTTTAGAGTTTAATTCTTCATAATATTCTTGGTAATATTCCTCATATTTTTTAAGCTCTGCTTTCTGCTTAGGCATAAAGCAACTTTTACATAGAGCTACTTTGTTATTGAAGTTTTTTTAAAGATTTTCTATTGCTTTGTAATAATCGAATTCAGGATGAGATTAGTCGAAGGATTCTTGGAGGATTCGATCTAATATTTCTTGTTCTGTTTTTGAGAGAGTTATATGAGATACTCTCATAATAAAGCTAATATCATCATCTAAGTAGTTCTGATTAGACTAATCATTTATTTGAGGTTCTAAGACTTTAGCAATATCTTGTTGGCTTTCACCTAATTAGATTTTAGCAAGGTGAAAAATTCTACTCTGATTAAGATCATATGCATGTCCTGTATTTCTAGTAGATTCAGTATAGTAGCATACTTAGGTCTATAGATTATAGTTAGGGTTTCATTCTATATCTTGAACTGCTTTATATGCATAAAAATATTCTAAGTTACAAAACCAAGAATCTTCTTGAGTTGTATCTAATTTATGCATTCTGGTCCTAATATATTCTTTTTTACAGAAGGTACATTTAGTGAAGAGGCCTTGTCTATTACTATTAGTGAAATATTCTATACTTCATAGGTCTTCTCTAGGAAGTTGTTAGTAGAAATCAGTTCAACAGATCTTACATACTAGGGTATTATTAAGAAGGCAAATATCTTCTGGCATCTGGAAGGTTTTACATCTACAGTAATAGTTTATTCTTTTGTAACTATAGTAAACTATTCATCTATCTTCTACTTCATCTTGACTACATCTATATCTATATTATTGATTATCTTTTTGAGAAGAGCAAGAGGACAATAGATACTGATATGTCCAAACTCATCATATTGATAGCAATGATTATAAGGGCAATTAGCATATTGATACTCAGTGCTATCATATACTTTGCAGTAGTTTAGCTTTAGTAGATTGCGAGAGCAATATTTAGAGATATGTTCTAGTCTTTTGCATCTATTGCACTAGTTATTAGAGCAGTTTGCAAAGACATGTTCATCTGAGTAACAGTTTCTACATCTTTTGTATCAATTATTTAAGGGAGGTTTGTTTCTGAGTCTAGAAGTTGGGGTTATCTAAGGTTGGTTATTGGTTTCTGAATCTGTAGCTGTTAAAATATAAGCTTCTTTTTGAAATAGAAATTTTTGCTCAAATTGATCTAATTTATGCTTTTCTTTTACTATGAGTTGAGTTAGTAAAGGTTGGTGTTGTTCATAGGTAGTAGGTACATGAATTTTCTGTTTATTCTATTTTAGAGTATAGGCACTATTTT